TTGTTACTAGAAGCGATGCACTTGTTCCTAGTAGCTTCTTGTTACTAGTAGTACGGCCAGGAGCCCCTAGTAGCGAACATTGTTCCTAGTAGCGAGGCCAGGAGCCCCTAGTAGCGTCCGATCGCTCCTAGTAGCGATGCCCTTGTTTGAAAGGAATTCACTCGGTGTTTTTCTAGTTTTGGCTTTGACCACCAACCCATGGCTACTTGCAGCGAGTCATATCCGTTCTATCAAGCCACCCTTTGCTGATCATTTGGAAGAAAAAAACTGTTTTACAAGGTCACAAGCTGCCTTTCTTTCTGTAAGGCCTTCCTTCAGGTTTTAATACTTTGCTTCCCTGTTTTCGGAACAGGGCTATGTGCCAGTTCTAGCCAGAGTCTTTCTACTCGCAAGGGCACCAAAGAAAGAAAGAAAGATTGAAAGACACATCATAAACACAATCAAGTCGAGAGCAAAAGAATTCACACAAGAGAGCTCACGTGGTCGAGGCGCCCGGTCGACAACTTGGTTGCTCAAAGACTTGGCCCAAAGAACCACCTTCCAAGGCTGGGTTTATGATGGATGGACGGTCAACATGGGCTACGGGTAGAATGTGGGAATGACTCTTGAGTCAAACGCCTTAGTGGGGGGACGATCGTTGCCCAACAACAGTGCCACCAGGCCGCCGGGGCCCACAAACAGTTCCTCCACCCCGACCGATTGGAACCATGCAGAACTTTACCACAGGTGCATTCATTCAGTTCCTTCCTCCCTTAGGAGCTGCTAACGACAGCGAAAGCAGCCTTGGCTGGGGACTACCGTTTGGAGAACGCCCATTGGCCGATAGAACAGATCCTGCACACCTTTTGCGAATGAGGAGAAATGGGTTTCCTGCACACCAAGCAAGCGCAGTGGGCAAAAAAGGACAGACAAGCCACACGAGCCAGATCTCCATGTTCTTTCCGCACAGTTAGCAGCTGTTCCACTGAGTGTCATATCACTCAGAAGTGCGTTGAAACGTCTTTAAACTGGATCATGGGCGCCATGGCCTTCCTTTCGCCGTCAACAGCTTCATTGCCCTCGAGGATCCAATATCTTCTCAACATGTTCATCAAGCACTGGCCTGTAGAATGGACAAACAACTGGCCATGGATGCATATTTGAACGGTAGTGAACACCCCTGTCTGTATCAGAGAGTGTTGCTGTAAGAGTCCAAAATTCCCCTGAAGATTTGCACTGCTTACTTGCTGCTACTCACAAGCACTTTAACTACAACTCTTTGCCGCGACATGACGCGCTTGTGGTGAGATGCAGAAGCGGAAGGTGGTGCAATACCTCAGCAAGTAGCTTGATTTGGCAAAAGTCCCGCTCAGGAGTCGTTTTGCTATGCAGCAACAGTTTGTGTTTCTTTGGCCAGAGGTCGGGATTTGAAGATACATAAATATAAACGGACTGTATTCCATTCTCAAGTTCGTTCGTTCACGCCTTATAACGGGGGTGTCTTTTTCTAGCGTACGTGTCAGCCTTCATGTCCAACATAGGAGGGTGGAAGCAGGAAAGAAGGAATCATTCAAGATTCATGCCCAAGTAGGCAACATCCTTGTTCAGGGCAAGACCCAGGGTGTTTATCAAACCGCAAGAATTTTCCAAGGTACATCCGCGGATTGAATGCAGATCAAGTTTCTTCGAGAGCCTTGGAATGCAGATAGGTAATGTCGGTCAAATCATATCAAGTTATCAAGTAACTCAACTGACTTGCTGCAGATGGTGATGTTGGTGTGTGTGTGTGTGTTGCGGAGCCAATGGTGATGTAAAGGTCCTACTGTGTTGAAAAGGACAATTAATTTACCTGCAGCACACTTCACACTTGCTTGCAGAACATTTGTCCCAAGAGCTACAAACAATTGAGCAGCATAGTTGCCAAAACAATAGCAGGAACATGCAAATCATAAAGACAACATGGTAGGAGCGAATGTAGGAGAGCGGCGTGTTCACTATGTTTCAACAGCTATTGAGTGGTAAATCACACTGTTTTGTGTGTTGTTTTGTTTCAGCGGCTCTTGACAAAGTGTTCAACTCTTGCCGTGTTTGTGCCACAGCTGGCCGATAGCACTGTACAAGGACTCTTCGGTAAGTTTTGTGAACTGCCCTTGATTTATGTACTACTGCCGCAACTCTTTTCTTTGATTTTGCCCGTCTTCATCCAGCGTTACAATTAATTGTTCATCCAGCTGAACAAAAAAAGCTCATGGGTTCGCAGATCATTCACGACACGTGAGGTGAAAGTGCATGCAGCTTCATCCTAGATGCACTTGCAATCGAACGTCATTAACCCCCCGCCCAACCCACATCTATGCGTTGTTGATAATGTTGCGCGAACAACGTCAACAAAAAGTGTACAAAAACACGCACAATTGTTGTTGTTATTGTTGTTGCATTTAATTTGTTTAGGTGTGCAAGTGGTGGTGCAAGAGAATCTGATCAAGAGTCATAACGAAGGTGATGCATGTTTATTGTTGACAAGACTCCTTGCACATGTTGTTGTTTAGTTTTGGTTGCATTCGTTGCATAAGTGTCGAATTTGTTTCTAATAGCGAACACTGTTCCTAGTAGTAAGGCCAGGGGCCCCTAGTAGCGTCCGATCGCTCCTAGTAGCGACGCCCTTTGCTCCTAGTAGCGTCCTTGTTCCTAAGGACTCTTTTCGGGCGAAGTGGAGCTTCGAGAAGCTGAGCTGGAAGTGGAACCGCTCAACAAACTTCTCGCTGGGACAGTGCCGTACACCCTGGAGGTCCAGTCACGAACAAAAAGCAAACTAAAGTTAACAAGCTCCAGATTGAACCTTACAAGTGAGTTGTATCTTTTTTGCGAGGTCCTGGCAGTATCCTGTGATCGACTCTCAGTGCAAGTTCCATGGAGTGCCCTTCGCACCCGACCGGTGCAAATCAAAGTGGGCTGCTTGCGCATTCAGGTGGATACAGCCGCATGAAGCGATCACTGAGATATATTGTGTGTTACCTCAACCGTTTTCAACTTGGCTTTGCACTTTTGAATCTATTGATGAATCTATTGAACCATTGTCAGAAGACTACTTGCAGTGGAGCACTTGGATGAAGTGTTCGTGATGGAGCTGCATTTTGTCTTCAGGTCCGTGTTCATAGCGCTGAAGATGTCCAATGGGCGGAATTGAGGGCTCCCAGCACGAGCATTGCCGCTGCCCGGAGTGAAGCAAAACCACAGGCGCAGCCGTTTTCTGAGGTGACAGTTCAGATGAGAAACCGAGAATTCAAACGGTATTTAAAACAGGTGTTGGCATCAGTGTAGAATCAGGGCACTTGGATGAAGCTATCAGGGATTTATTTTTCTGCTACCCCCTGCGTGCAAGAATGTGCCCAAGAAGGCCCTGTTTGGCCAAAATAGCTGGCCGTTCAATGCCAGGAGAAGGTCAGTGATGAGCAAAGGAGCTTCAAACTCTCAGAAGCTCAGACATGTTTGAGAGGTCCGGGAAAATGTTTCTCGGTATTCGCTTCCGGATGGATCAACATATGATTTGTGAATCTGAAAATGACAGAAAGGATTGAGAGGTTTTCTTGGATCATCGGCGTTTGTCATTGGCACCATATCGCTGCAATGAGCCACAACCGCAGCGGTGTGGTCAGCACGCCTAAGGACGTGAAAGTGGCTGTGATCGATGGCTTGCTGATTTCACTGGAGTCTTTGCATGTGCTTTCTACCCACGTAACTGCGTCGTCAGCGCAGCCTTCGCTCCTTTGCTTGAAAGATACCTGTCCAAAGTGGTCAGTACTTGGATTTGTGTGGCCAAAAATGATCGAAGACCCAAGGTTTGCCTTTGAATTTGAACTGAAGGGGCTTTCTTTGCAGCCAGTGGCCCCTGCTGGAGCCAAGGAGTTACATTTCAGATGTCTCTCACTCTGAAAGAAGCTTTCAACCATAGTAGCTTCTTGTTAGCTCCTAGTAGCCTGGGTGAAGGCTCCGCCAAGGCTGTCCTGGTGAAGGCGGACCTGCCTTGTTACTAGTAGCGATGCCCTTGTATCTAGTAGCTTCTTGTTACACCATGTTTAACCCTTATAGAAGCGTTTAGCTTGGCAGACAATTCGCTCCTCGAGTCCAGGAGCGAAAAGCCAAGCGCCTGCGACGTGGGGCGTGGACGTCGTTGAAGCGCCGGTTGGAGGTGCAACATCTACGACTAGCTGCAGCCCACTTGACGGGCAAAGCGACGAATGATGCAATGCTTGACATCAAGAACTTGAGTTCCATGGCTGAAAAGACGGAGTCAAGGTCGCTAGTAGGTTGGAGGCCATTGCAAATAGGTTGGAGGCAACTGTACGTTACACGATTGAAACCTGCAAACAAATCATTCGGCATCGCACTCTTAAGTCTCAAGCACCAATCTAATAACCATTTCTAGTGGGATGCTGGATACTTGGAAAACTTGAACTTGCTGTTTCTAGTTTGGCCACCTGCCAGTAATTACTGCAAATCTAGGACATCATAATGGCTCTTGGTATAAGTCCCATGAGGTGGCTTGCATTTTACGTCCCAAGCATGGGTCCCATGATGTACCCGCTTTGCAGGTTTGGACCTGGTGGAAGGCAGAGATATTGGCCGCCGTCAGGATCATCGCAATCCTTCTGCAAGGATGGCGATGCTTCCTCGGCTGCTTCGGATGAACTTAACGGTGCCCGAGATTCAGCTCCACCTGAATGACTCTGAGATTCTGAATTTCATCAAGCTCGTGGGCCATATAGTGCAACCAAAGTCTCCACCAGTAGACATGCTCTCAGCAGAAGTGCAAGAGCAGACGAAAGCGGCTGTGGAAGCTCTCTCGACTCGGTCGATCCGGAGTTTCAGCATTTTTCGGCGTTCCAAAAAGGACAAGAAGCCCAAGAGCTCAGTTTCTGATCGAGAGCTTGGAACGCCAGTGTCACAAATAGCTGATATGGCCGCAGATATGGCGGACATCATGGCTACAAAGGCCAAGAAGGCCTCCGGGCCGGTTCTTCGCTGTTTAAGTGGGTCGGATCGGGTCAAAGAAATGTTATTTGAAAGTTAAAGAGATCAAACAAAGAAGGTGATTGGATCACGTTCATGATTATTTGTTCCTTTTCCTCTCTTTCCTTTATAAAAGACTTTGGAAGGCTGGGGATGCTGCAAGCGCTGCAGCCGCAGACAAGGCACGGCGCACTGCTGCAGCTATGGCAGGAAGTGCTGCAGCTGGGGCGGTGGCAGGTGCCGCAAGTGAAGGGGAGGGGAGGTGCCATGATGTAACTTAATTCTAATTCTATAGATTGTTTCTAATAGTTTTTTGTTCCTAGTAGTAAGGCCCTTGTTCCTAGTAGCTTCTTGTTCCTAGTAGTACGGCCAGGAGGCTGTGTGAATGTTGTGGCCCTTTGGCCCTGTGAATTCCTTCAGATGTCGTTCCAACTCAGTTCCGAACGGCCACTGAAGGCTTCACAACTTCATTGATTGTATTGTCGAAGTTGCTGCAGTGTGGTGTTGAGATTGCAAATATGGGACTACAAACGAGACTTTGAAGATGCCTGCGGTTGAGTGGTTGAAGATTGAATCCCGCAGGTTTAGTAGCAACTGCAGGTGAGGTGTTCAATTTTCCTTGTAAGGTTCACGAGCAACACTCGCATATGGAATCAACACATGCAACCCGCAGCGCCATCAAGTGAGGTGGGCGACCCCAGCCCATAGCACGACCCACTCTTGCGCAAAGAAAGGCCCGCATGGCCACAAGGCTAAGGCATGCAGCCTAGTCCTTGCTAGATGGGCCACCATGCCTAGCTCTCCTTGCACTCCTTGCACTTGTCGATTGACCATCCACCTACACGAGTCAGTTTGATGCAGGGTGGTGTTTTTAATTGTTTGCTTCCAATTCCAAGGCAGAAAGCCACGGCTGGAATTGGCAAGTTTAGACACTCAAATGTCACGCTCAAATGCTTGCTGCAACTGATGCTTGTCACAGCATTTTGTTGTGATGGCAGGTCCTACCAGCGATGGCCTCCAACCTAAGAGCGATGGCCCCCAATGTATTCTTGCTCTTACTGCTCTCCACTTGATGTGCTGTCCGCGGCCTCCGCAAAAATTTGTCTTCAATGTGAATGCAACACATCTTTGATGTTTTGGGCCCTCATGCGTGTGCCATTGACAAGGTGGAGGAGCGTTCGTTCCCCAACACTCCTGTCGCCCATTTGGGATCACTACTGATACAATTTCTGAGGAGAATCACTACACACTACTTCAGAATACCCAAAATGATGTGAATCCACTTCTTGATCCTTCCTCCTTTCTGTGTTCAAGAAAGGATACTGCAGAAGATTCCTGTTCTTCAACGATTGAAACGTCCTCCTCCGGGCTCTTGGGCTGGGACACGCTGCATCCTTGTGGGTTTGAGCTAGTCCATAGCCTAAGGCCCCTCGTAGATGTTCTCTTCGAAAAAATGTTCAATGAGCGCAAGTTTTATCTAAGAATATACTTCCTCGCATGCAACAGATTACTTGATCCAGCAATACTACATTACTCAAGCTACTCGACCCCCACGGGCAATCGACACATTGCTCACACAACGTTTTGATAAGTCGTAACAACGGCCAGGCAATTGCGCAGAAGCGTGCTTTGCGACAGCAGCTTTCTTGTTCAAAAATCAAGGTCTAGCTTCTTCCACCTATGACTCCCTTGAAAACAAGATGTAGCCGCAAGACATTTTCTGTTGAGAAAGACTGCAAGTAGGTTGGAGGCCATCGCTAGTAGGTTGAAGGGTTCGTGGTAGTCTGCCGCAGGCGCTGCGGCAGCTGCGGCAGCTGCACAGGGTGCCAGCCACGCGGCACAGAAAGCATCGCATGCTTTAGGAGATGCCAGGAGGAGTGGTCAGGCTGCCGCAGAGAAAGCATTTGGGAGTTTGATGCGTGTAGGACTTGGACGAAAGACGAAGAAAGAAGGTGAAGAAGTACCAGATAATCCAGAGGATGAAGAGCTCCGCAGAGTACTGGCACTTTCTTTGAAGGAATTTGAAGACTCACAAGCTGCACAAGCTCAGAAAGAAAGTGGATATCCTGACTTGACAGGATCACCGAAGGCAGTGTCAGCCTGCGAAAGCGTAGTAGATGATCAAGCCCCTTCAATGTGCGGGGAGGAGCTGGATGATATGGCTGCCTTGTTGGCTTCCTCTGATTCAGATGAAGACGATCGCCAGTCTGTTGATTTTGAAGAAGACATTGGCGTCGGGGAGCTTGAAGTGGTTGATACCCATCATGGACGAGATGCGCCCTCTGCTTTCATGGATAGTCACACCCAACCACCACTTGGACTGCGGATGCTGTTTGCACACATCGCTCTAAGCAAGTTGTCAGTTACGCTGCCAACGCAGAGGGATTCGGAAGGGTTTCGTTTAGAAGCAGGGGGCCTGAACATATCTGGGGATACACTCCTACGCTTGCTTCCATCCGAAATCAAGTGCCTTCGTCGCTTGGGCATTCTGCAAGGACACAGTGATAGTCTGACAGACACGAGTTCATCGAAGTCGCAGAGCAGCAACTGTAGCATGACCCTTTGCTCCGGGTCATTGAAATTCGACAACAGACAGCTCCTTGGAGTGAAGCGATTGCCCAAATTCACTCCATGGATGCTGACGGTGCGCCTCAACGCAACATCTTTGGCCAGACCACTCATGACGACCCACAAACTTGCGCTTGAGTGCTGCACTCATGGTGTGCACATTTCTCCATATATCGATGCAATCAAGGCCCTTCAAGCCCGCTGTGCGTCACTTCAGAAATCTCTCAGCACTTTGGGTTCAAAGAGCGAGGGGATCCCTGGGACAGCAGCACTGCCACTGCGGATACAAATCGATGCCAGGCTTCGGCTTCAACATACGATGATCGACCTGAGCCACATTTCATCCCCCCTTTTGAGACCCTTGCAAGTGTTGATTCCGTGCGTTCAGATCAATGTATCTGAGGGATTTCTTGGACTCAGCCCACCGGTACCTCAGTGGCATGTTTTGCCAACTTCCAGTGAGGGAAATGAGCCCGATTTCCATCTCTATGATTGCTTTTGTGTCACTAAAAGAGGAATTGACGGGTCAAGTGTGGAGCCAGAAGCGGATTCGAAGAGCTTTGAAGGTTGGGAAGTCTTGGTGACGGAGCGTCAGTGGTGCCGCAGCGGCACTGGGCTGCAGGGGCAGCGGTTGCTGCTGCCTGCAGCTGAGATGTTGCTTTTGTCGAAGTCCAAGTTGGAGGCCATGGAAGCAGCACATCGCTTGGAAGACTTGGCTGAAAGGCAACATGCTGAAAGTTGCTTTGCCATTCAAAAAGGAACTGCACAGCGTCTTCCCATTGTTCAAGAGATCTTGGACGGTACCGCTGAGACGACCATCGATGGTCTTGAGGAGCAGTTGGAAGCCTTGCGCGTGGAGCTGCGAAGCTTGGACTCGCAGCGCCGGGAGGACGAACTGGCGTTGAAACGGAGCGAAAGGGAAGTCGCCACGGAAGTGGCTGACTTTCGATACCAGAAGTTGCAAAGAGAGCAAGATTTACAGCAGCAACTGCAGGAAGAAGAGATGATCAGTGATGCTTTGACCAAGCTTATTGCAGACCAAGCCGAGATCATTGCCAAGTTGCAATCTTTCGACTGATTCGTGAAGTTACAATTGCTACGATAACTTGCAAACTGGCATGGTGGAAACAGCAAGCTGCAGCTTACTCCAAGTGCGACTTCCATACGTCGATATCATTGTGAAGCTTGCAGTGTTTTGTCCCCACATGCTCTACGATCTCATACCTCCTTTGGTATTTGGAAGATTTGGAAGAGCGTCCGGAATACCACAGGTGACTCTGCATCCGGTGTAGTCCTCTAATTGGATTCTTTGCTTGGACAATCGTAGGCAGAAATTAATGGGTTTGATATTTTGCTCATGATGCTACCAAGTAATACTGTGAACATGTTGATGAGGTATTATTATGCTTTTAGGTTGGAGGCCATCGCTTTTTGTTTTATGCCTGGATTCTAGAAGAACTTTGTCTAAGGACTGCGACAGCATCTTCGAGCATCAGAACCTCTCCTTCAGGGTGCCTTCATGAAATATGAACGAAGACAAGGATGAACGGAGCATCTTTATTATCAGTCTCACGAGTAGGAAGAGTGCTTTCTTTTCAGGAAGTGTTGTGAGTGGTAGCTGTTGTAGCTGATAAGTCAGGGGCCCTTTCTGAGAGGAAGCACAGTCTCCATTTCACAGTAAGATCCTGTTTGTGCTGATTGCATCACAGCGGGTCTTTGCATCAGTAACATTATTTGTTTGGCTCAAGGAGTACATGCTCCACGTGCTCCAACTGTAGCACTAGGCACACTGAATCAATGGCAAACGGTCACAAGTTGAAGCTGTTCAGCCATTCTAAGCCTTTTCAATCCTTCAAACGGATCAGCCTTTATAAAGGCACTATAAAATTCTGATGCGAGTTGACTCCAATTCAGCTTTGACTCCCTACTCTTCTGACCCTTACCCAACCCCAATTGACAATTGACAACAGCACTCCACCTGCTTTGGCCATAGAAGTTGTGCAGTGGCCTGTGTCCATGAGCAGCTACTATGGCTGTCCCTCAGCTTTGGATCTTTACATTTGTCTCTGAATAAAGGTTGAATAGATGCTTTCACCAGTCGAGTCCGTATGTACTTGGTCTGAGCTGTTCGGTTGAAGTACTGTGATCAAGATGAGCAGCTCTCCAAAAGCATTTGGGTTGGTAAGGTGTGCATTCTGCGGGTCAAATTCCAGACTGCTAGAAATTCATCCTTAAGTTTTCTAAAGACCTTGTTCTTGTCAGAAGTCGGAGCCAGTGGCGTTCTGTGGGGTCCACCTATGACACCTGCTCGTAATTGCAAGTCATGTCGACCATCTAGGTGGCCGCAAAGATGTTGGGCACTTACAAACTCAGTGGCACCGAAGCAAGAAACAGCATGTTTCCTTGTTAAAGCAGTCTTGTTGCCCTTGTTGCCTTTCTTTCTTTGAACCTTCAGGCGTTTCTTTCGGCCTGGGCCAAACTACCCTTGCTCCGACTGAACATACCCTTGATTGACATGCTTCGCTCCAAAGTCACTTCTTTGCGCCCTTGACCTTCGGGTTCAACCTGGACCTTCGGATGTGCTTGCACGTTCTCTTCTCCAATCTGTGAGTCGGTTTGTCAAGCCCTGTGGATCGCTGCAAGGAGTGGACACACTGGGCACAATGGGTCCCTTCATCTTCGAGTGATGCTTGGCCAGCAACATCTACTTTCATCTACTTTCCCACGTGTACGTTCATGTGGGAAAGACATACTCTACCCTTTTGTAGACATGTTGATCAATTGTTCCAGCACAGCAACGTACATTGACTCACTTGATGGAAGGACTTGATCTAGGAATCTGATGGAACCTTTGTCATGGTCAGAAGAAGGGGCTTGTCAAAGCACTCATCGAGTCAGCGGCCAACTTGGCTAAGTCCTGGCAGCAGCACTGGACCTCGAAGGTGCGAATGAAGTGGAGTCAAGGGTCATGTGCATCATGTTTGAAGTGGAGGACATCTTGAAGTGGGTGCATGGACTCCATAGAAGAGGGGGAAATGAATTTGATGAACGTGTCAAAGCTGCGGACTCTCAGGGAGCAGCAGCAACCACTGATAAGGAGGAGTGGTGGATTCAGCCTCAGATGTTAATTTTCGACGCAGGAGAATGGACACTGGTCAAGTGAAGGAAGCCTCTTCACACACTGCATGTCAGGCTCACATAGTGCTCTAGCATTAGCGTGTTTGTTGCTTAGGTGGAGCGAACATGGCAAAGGCAATGGAGCAGGCTTGGCTGGGCTTTGCTATAGAGAAGGTTCACGTTGTGCCCCAGGTTGATGTTTCATTTGCTTGATAGCCCGTGTAGAAAACGAAAACATCCAAGCACAAGTCAGTGTTCAATGGTCATCGGAGAAGTTGATCAGTCGGAACCAGGCTGGGATTACCCACAGAGTCAAAGCAGTCAAAGCTGGTGATGTCCTCAGAACTCTGACTTGCCAGAAGTAGCGATGCAAAAAGCTCAGTGTTGTAATGCCATCTTTGTAAGAATAATGAATTCATCTTTGTAGAAGGGGTATGTCAAGCCAAAGCCTACGGCTTTAAAGAATGTTCTTTGCTCCCCAGCTAGAAAACTGAAAGCTATAAGGGGTTCTTTCTTCTCAATGACTGGGTGGCTGATCGACGTTTTGGTCCACAGCTACAGCTGCGGCCTTGTTTTTCGCCTTACATAAAGTCCACCTTTGTTTCATAAATAGTGGGTCTTTGCCTGAAGTGACCTCACATAGGCTTAAAGATAACGTTGATGTTCTTGCGATTGCCGAAGGCGGTCGCCTCTGGCCGCACATGCACCGAATTAACACAATAAAGATACCAACAAAATGAACATGACATTCAACAAATACACGGTCGTTTCTTTGTATCTTAATTATGCTTCTTTTGTTTTAGTTCATTGATGAATACGGGGTCCCCCCTTCAAGTGACCTCAAATAGTCTTAGAAAGCTGTTTTAGTATTGGTAGTATTGGCGTGACTTTGATGGAAGTTGGATTAGCAATGCATCCAGAAATTTGTAAATCCAGGTCCAGTGGTAAAACACTTAAGCTATATGTTGATTTAAGCTTAGCTTTATTCAGAGTATATTGATTAATCGCAGGGTGACCTTATCTGTTGTGTGATCGCCGTTTTGTTTGCCGCTGCGTGGTCTTCTCACTTGTCTCCGCATTTTTAGAGCTAGTTGCTATCTGGGGTCTATGCCGGTATAATGTTTCACGACAGTTTGTTGACTGTTGAAGCCCAGGTACTCTAACCCAAAGAAGAGCAAGCCGAGCGAGGTTGGCTTGGTGCAGTTTGTGCCAGTCAGCCAATGTTAAGTCTGTGGTGCTGTGGAAGAATGAAAGGTTCTGAAAGATCGAAAGGCCTAAAGGAAGAAAAGGCCTTTTAAAGATCGAAAAGATGCTGTAAAATTAAAACTGGTCTTGGACTTAAGTGACATCGCTACTAGGAGGCCACGGCTGCTAGGGTGGAGGCCATCCCAAGTGGTTACTTTCAAATAACTCTATTTATTCATCGCAAAAACTCTAGGGTCTTCGACTGAAGTGCCTCTCACTCCGAACTGAGAAAGCAGTCCTGGTGATCTTGAGGCTTCAGCAGGAGCGCCGGCTGCTGGTTCGACTGCTGCACAGAGCCAAACCATCCGAGGCGAACCAAACGCAAAGTGTAGTGTTTTTGAGAGCAACCTACTTGCGATGGCCTCCACCCTAGTAGTGATGGCCTCCACAAAGTGTAGAGTTGCTTTTTAAAGTCATCACTCTAGGTTTACTGTGCTTGAACATTAAAATACAAGACGCTGTGCCGCGTTCAAAACGGTTTCTTGAGAGTGAGAGAGCATGTTGAATTCTCTGAACTTGAGAAGTTTCGTGTAAGGCAGCCGGATTGCCAAAGAGAACGGCCAGGAGTGGCTCCATCTCTATCTCCATCTATTGCGAAAGGCCTCCACGCTATTGGTAGTGTGAGTATGTAGCAAGGGACTTACTAGCAATGGTCTCCAACCCAATAGCGATGGCTTCCAACCTAAGAGCGATGGTATCGAACCTACCAGCGATGGCTTCGAACCTAATAGCGATGGCCTTTCCACCAATCGTTTTTCCAAACCAGCCAGCCAAAAAGATGTTCAAGCATTTGACCAGGACCAAATACTACGTCTATCAAACCGCTTTCCAACAAAGGCGCCAGGTCTGGAATGTTCAACACCCCTTACCAGTAGTAACTTGCAATAGCTCTCTCTACATACGGAATGTGTAATGTTTAAGACCTTTCTCTTTCTGTCTCCGTGCCTTTTACCCATACTACCTCCGCCTTATAGTACTGAAAGTAACTAGCAAGTGGATTAGCGGATTTAGAATTGCTACTCCTGGGAGGACCAGCGGCCAGCCAGGGGCACTTCAGTGGCCTCTAGGTCTTCGGTTGGTCCGGCGTCCCTCCTGACAGATCCAGTGGCCAAGGCAGCTGCCCCAAAAAACAGTTTGTTTTGTACAAATAAATCAATCTACTTTGTGGAGGCGATCGCTATTAAAAATCTGAATCTATCTTGAATCTGTTGTGTAAACGCTGCAAGCTCATGGTGATTCCTATGCCGCGTCAGGTGCCTTTGACACGTCCACCTTTGTCTGTACCAAATGTGGACGAGGTGAATGAGGCAATTGGATCACCTGGGCTGGACATCTACCAGGGCGCTACTAGGAGCAAAGGGCATCGCTACCAGGAGCAAGGACGCTACAGAGGGGCTCCTGGCCTTACTACTAGGAGCAAGAAGCTACTAGGAACAAGTGCATCGCTTCTAGTAACAAGTGCCTTACTAGTAGTAACAAGAAGCTACTAGGGGCTCCTGGCCTTACTACTAGGAGCAATAAAGCGACCAATCCGGAGGGCGGATCATCCATCCTCCATCCGCAGGCAGAGGTCGCTGCCAGTGCTGTTGCAAAAGTCGCAGCAGAGCGGGCGGCGATGCCAGAAGAAGAGCGGAGGTTCAGACCACCGCTGTTAGAGGATTGATGTGCTGCATGTCCTTGTCACTGAAGAGCTAGGTCAGAATGACCGGGCCATAAGGCCCAGCGCCATGTAGTGACAAGAATTTATGGCAAGACCGTTCGCACCTACATCGGCCATCGCTGGGTTGTGTTCGCAGGATGAGAAACAAAGGAGGCGGAGGGCGTACCAAAGAGCATTGCGGCTTTGCGCATTCTGCCCTGGGAAGGACGCGACGTGACATCGTGCTCGCAAGCTTTGGGAGAATATAGCTGGCATTCATTGTCCATGCATTATTCTATCTTAAAAAGGATTTGCTGGGCTGCAAACACCGGGAGAGGGTTCTGAACAAGAAGGTTTGATGCTAAAGAGATCTAGCAAGCGCTCTTGTCAAACTCTTCCGCAACTTTTTGAGGTGGATCTTCTCATAGTCCTCATTTGCATGTTCCTTGTCACGGTACACGAACGCATTCCTACACTTCCAACAGACATGGAAATGCTTTGCAAGCTTAGCAAGGCGCCTGGGCTGGCCTTTTCTCCAAGACCGCAGACCCCCCCCAGATATCTAGTCCTGGACAAAGAGGGAGATCGGTGTCCAGGTAGTAGCCCTTTTTGGGATAAATTGCACGTGTGTTTTGATGTATGATGTAATTGATTTGTTTAGTAAGTTTCTGTGGGCCCTTGATTTTTCCAATGTCCTGCAAAGCTAACACCTCCAAAGCAGTACCTTAGATGTATACGGTATACCGCTACGCGTGCACCAAAACGGTTGAACTGGTGAAATGTCCAAAATATTCTTACCTCCTCGCTGCTAGAAATCCCAGACCTGGAAAACCCATGAGTAGAGCGGTAGAAGGGATCTTTTATCCTCGTTTGACATCTCCAGCTGAGTGGAGTGCGGGCCGCTTCACAGGAAGTAAACGCGCTGAAGTGGCTGGAAGATTTCGAGGCATTTAGTCGTTCTTCGTGTTTAACGGCTAACACTGACTAGAGAGAAAGCAATGGCTTGATGATGAGCGACGTGTGTTGTCTAGCTTAATTACAAGATAAGTTGTTCCAACAATTTATCAAGCGTTCGATGCAGCAACTAGATAGATTTCATTCAGGTCAGATGGAATCAGAGGGTTGGTTGTTTTTTGGAATTGGCAGTCCAGCTTGCGGTGAGTCTTTCTTTTAGTTGCATTGGAAGATGAAAAGAAAGAAAGAAAGACATGTTCGCTGATTCGAAGGACGATCCAGATGTGGAACCCACAGTTCCTGACTATTTGGCAGCCCTTCGAGCTTGCGAGGTTCGAGAACCGGGTAGGGACATGCAAGTCGCATCCGGAACGCTGGCGTTCAATGCTTGTCATAGACCAATCACACCGTGTTCCGGAAAGAACGTTGACGGTTGCGAGTTAAGTAGGGCCCAAGCGTTGCTAGTAGCGAACCTTGCTCCTAGTAGTAAGGCCGGGAGCCCCCAGTAGCGTCCGATCGCTCCTAGTAGCGATGCCAGGAGCCCCGAATGTAGCTTTTTGTTACTAGTTAAGTTTCCCTGAATATCTAGGAACCAAATGATTCGTGCGAGCTATCCTGCGTCCCTACCTAGAAGCTTACCTCCTTACTCAATTAAGTAGGCGCGGGCTGAAAAACAGAATCTATGTTCCTGCCGGTATCGAGAGTCCAGGTGAGCCAGCAGCCCTTGGAGAGAGTCTGGACTTTGCTCATGGATATGCGAAAGAAAGGTGGGATAGTTAAGAAAGTGAAAAAGCAAGTCAATCAGGATGTGTTGTGGGATCCCGATAAATACAGAAGGTGGCAAGAAGCGACGTATTTTTGGCACAGTGGTAGTTTTTGCAGTGCTGAAGGATCAAGGTCATCATGCGATATGTGGTGAAGTGTGTTCATGCGAAGTTGATTTTAGCTTGGTGATGTGAGTGGCTTTGGGGATTTGCTTGGTCTGAAGTAATTGATGTGAAGGGCTGCCAAAGTGATGAGGTTTGTGGACATTTGCAATGTAGAGTTTGCCAGTGTAATGCAGAGGTGTGAATTATGTACCTTCTCAAAGTGTTTCGAAGCTCTTCTTTCGCAAAGTTGTCCTTCCTTCCTTGTTGGTTTCCTGCTTTGTTTGGTTTTGTTTTCTAAGAACGTTGTTTTCTTTCTATTTCAAGGATCCAGATAGCTCGCGTGCACCGAGGTGGAGAGATCATGATACGGTTGAAACAACCACAAAACATAAGCAATTGTACGTCGTGTTCTGTAGGCGTCTTAAATAAAACCAGATCGTAAAGAGAGATGACACAAGTATCGTTAGTAAGGTTCAAAGTTGCCAAGGAGCCTTACCCTTTGTTAATCCTTTTTTACGACCTGTTTTGTAGCACCGGTTCCAACATTGTCCGGTTGCACAGTTCTGCGATAGGCTTGGACCTTGACAGTCACTGGGAGAAGACGGAGCCCGATCAAAGTGATAGGGACAAGAAGAAGCAGATACCTATTGAGGCAGGGTCCTCAACTTCCAGTACTAAATTCATTCGAATTTTTATATTTCAAGGCATGAAGGCGCATGAAGAAACTGAAGAAACTTGAAGACCTCGTTGAGCATGAGGCGTTTCGTTTCAATTGACATGGTGAGGCCTTGGAGCTCTTGGAGTGGAATACGTCGGAGGATTCTTGGGAGACCTTGGAGCGCCACGCCGATATTTGGCTCCGAGAGCCACCTCATCCGAGGCTCGAAAAAACCGCCATCACGGCAAAGGTGTCAGAAATAAACGCAAAATAATAGACAGAACTTTGCAAACACACAATACAAAACTACAACCTGATAGCGATGGCCTCCAAGTACCAATCCGTTACGATTGTTTGTGTACTGGTCTTTTGCATGTTGACCTACATGACTCCAGGGGGGTTCGATCTTGTTAGCGAGATATATGATATTATTGCATTTCATTACTGCATGCTTCATCAAATACTTTGCCTTCGCCATTTGATACGAGCACTGCCAGGTATCACATTAAGAACAACATGAATAACCCTAATATATGTCTCTGGCAAACACATCACAGTGTTTTCTTTAATATCAATCCGGTTCTCGTGCCATAGCTTCAAACTCCATCCCTAGCCGTAAGCATTTGACGCGGCCGCCACGTGGCCTGGCCCAACTACGCTCTTGAGTCATTCGTGAGGTTGTGATTGTTCCTCGCTTCAACCAGATACCTATTTGCTCCGCGGTTTCCTAGTAGTTTCTATAGCTACTAGTACTGTAATAATGCCCTTGTTACTTGTTATTATTAGTAGCGTCCTTATTCCTAGTTGTTCCTAGCAGTATGGCCAGGAGCCCCTAGTAGCGTCCTTGCTCCTAGTGTACAATATTCCACTCAACTCTGCACACCTTTTCCAGCTTCTGTCCACGTTTATTCCCGTCCTCTGATCACCAACTTGACAGCACTGACCATGCGGAAGCCTACATTTCATGTCACGTGTTTGCTTGAAGAATGCATTCAGGCACTTTGCATATTCTTTGCATAGCGAGTGAGATCGTATTTTCTTTCTCTGAAACAACACCCCACAATTCTGATCCTGATCATTGTGTGAGAAGTGGACAGTGGACTCACACTCACTGGGCCTTTCATGACCAGCACTTCAAAATGCCTCGTTCGTTTCGCCGTTTTCACCAGGGCCTTAGCTGCAGTGCTTCGTCTCGGCAGTCTGATGAAGCGCCGTGGCCGTGACGTGGACGCGGTGGTTCGGCGATTGGCAGTGCCTTGGCTTTGACGTTTTTGCCTCAAAAGGGGAGAAAAGTCCAAAGCAGATTTAACTGAAATTTGTGTAGGCTAGGGCTAGGGAATTTTATACTAGGTCTACCCACAGCAAACCTCAGCAAAACGTATCCCTACGGTTTTGATGAGAGCGTTGGAGCAAACAGAATGTGTGCTCTTGAAGCATCAATTTCAGGTATTGGACCACAATGGGTTGGATTTGTCCCAGACATGTTTTCCATCTTGCTCCTTTGCATGATGTTGCATGGCCGGATTGCGAGATGAACAGTCGACTTGTGAGTGGTCCAGGTCGATGTGATCTTCGAGGCTTTCAGCAAGGACGATGTTCAACGTCTGTCTTTGGTAAAGAGCCTTGGGGCCTTTACGGGCGAAGCTTTAAGGCAGGGATACCATGGGATACCACACCATAGGAAACAGGAACCTTGTAAGTGCATCCATAGTTTGGAGGCTTTTGTAGATCAATCTTCAAGATATATCGTCAACTTGCCGCAACTTGCCTCCAAAAGAAACAGTCGACAAGGGATGTCAGGGTTGGATGTGCCAAAGCCATGCAGGTTTCTCGGGATTCACACACTAAGTTGCGGGCCTAGCAACTCTTTGCCTGTGACGCGAGAACACAGACGAGTATTTTCAAAATGCTTCTACCTATGACTTGTGATATGTCCATGTATCTCTTCTTTGCCAAGGACATGTTCACTCACACTGGCTTTAAATAACACTCAGGTGATAACGGCGTTGACTCCGCATGGTTGGTATCTCAGAAGCATCGTTTGCAGGTGTTTGCAGGATTGTGATGGAATCATAGCACAGCAATCACTGTGGGCAGGGTCTTAGCAGCTAGAAACAACAACAGCAACAACAACAACACCAGCACCAGCACCAGCAGCAGCAGCAGCAGCAGCACCAGCAACAGCAACAGCAACATCAACATCAACAACAGGTCAGACAATGCTTCTCCATATCACAGTCAGAAAAAGGCGATGTTCAGCATCCAATATGTACTGCTACTACTTCTTGGTTGCTATCCGTTGCTACTACTTGCTCACCTTCGTGTGGCCTAACTGCCCAAGCTTGCATGAACGCCTTTAGAGTTTAGGTGTGGAATTCTTATGAATTCTTACTAACTCCAAACAGAAGCAACGGGAAACTTTGTTTGCAACAAACTACTAGGCTCGTTTTGGGGACGGAATTGAGCACTCCTCACCCCCACTGGAAATGCATCGTTAGACGCAGTACAGTGTCGACAGGCGCGCTAATGCTGAGCGCGCAGTACATAGACAGGCCTCCTGGCATCCAGCTGTCCAAGAATTTTGCGTGTATGTATTCTTTGAACCAGGTGTTTTCTTTGTTCTCCAGACCTTTTCTTCCTTTTTTTATGTTCTTTAAGGACGTTTCTTTTTGCTTCATCTTAAAGGAATTGCCTTGTGCATCGTTGAGTTGGGTCGAAAAAGGTGATGCTCAGAAGATGGACTGCCTGGGACGACCCAGAAGGCCGGATTTCTCAGCTCACGACGGAGGCTTGCGATGTTTGGATTGATCCTCAGGAACACACTAATTTAAAAATCTGCATGTTTTTCATACTGGCAATCTTGATCAATCTTGATTCACAAGTACTTTCCCTGATGCAACTCACGCAACACTTTGCTTCACAGTGACAAAATGCTCAGCAACAAGAAGAAGCTGAAAGGCCAAAAACGGTTTAGCATTCCGGACTTTGTCGAAATCCAGATCATGCCTAGCGAAGACTAGCTGGTTGTTTTGCTTGCTTTTGGTTCATTTGAAGTGGCTTCTGAGTCTGTGGATTGTGCCGCACAATTGAGCTGTTGAGGCCCTGGTGACTTTGCGTGGTTGGCCTATGATCTCACCTGCCAGGCATTGGAGAATTAGCAGAACTCATAGATGAACAACGAAAGGATAACAAAAGGTAATGTCATAATGTCCTCTTTGAAGAGGCTTTACCTTCTTGTTGACACTGTGCATTTCTTCATACCCCGATTGTGGACTCGCATGATGGCTTCATGATTTCAGAAAGCTTGCGTCATTGCCCGCCAGTCCAACCGACTGCAGTGTGATGGTGAAGTTGTGAGCTGGGCCTCCTAGGACAAGGGTGATATTATTGTTTATCGTTATTTTCTTAAAATGTATGTGTGTCCTTCTTGTCCTTTGAGCCCATAGACCTATTTTTCTGTCCTGTTTTTATGTATTTTCTCTTTAGTTTGTTGTTTCCCGACTGAGTGAGTTTGAAAAGAACCCTTCAGATACAAAGGCCCCTCCCCAGATTGAGCTTTAGCCTGAGGCCGTGCGCCAAAGAGTACCGCTGCAGAGGAGCTTTTTCCACCTCTGGCACCTTGGCTCAGTCAGGCTTTGCAAACTTCGACAGAGTCCTGAATGATTTTCCAGACTCTCAGGCTTAAAACAGATACAACAAGCTCTAGATAAAGAAAGAAAGGAAGACAACAAAATTGAATAAAAGAAACAACATACAACAGCTTCAAAGAAAGCCTTCAATGCCTTCTTGCTAGTAAGGTTAATTGATGGGTATATAGCAAGATAGAAAAACATTCTTTCACAGTGTCCCTTAAACCACCTTTGTGTTCTGCTTTGGTTTAGACCCTTGGACCTTTATGTATTGTTTTATGTGTTTTCTGCTAGTAGGATGGAGGCCATCGCTAGTAGGATGGAGGGAGGCCATCGCTAGTAGGTTGGAGGCCATTGCTACATTCTTTCTTTCTTCTCAATTTCCCTTTTTTCCGCAGACGATTGATTATGGCAATTAGATCTGAAGTATGTCTTGACCTCTACCGCAGGGCGCTATACACCAAGTGTTCCCGGCTTCCTGCTGCGATCCGTCCAGTGTACCCAGCATCCAAAACATAATCCCCCAACCAATATTCCCTACGCTGTAGGCACAATATGCCTACATACTTGACAGCTGCACAAAGAACTTGGTCATATATTGGGATAGCTTGAAGTAGAGCAATGGCCTCCTTTCTAATAGCAATGGTCTTCACCCTAGTAGCGATGGCTTCCACCCTAGTAGCGATCCAACCTACTAGCGGTGGCCTCCAGTTGTAGCCAGGTGTTCTGCAAGACGTTTCTTTGGAATCAATGTGATCAGTGATGTGGTCCCTCCGCATTCAGGAGCAGGACAAGCGCTCGAACCATGCAGATCGCAGGGCGTTGTCAATGCCCTAGACACTTCTTTTTTTTCAGTGGCACACTGAAAACTTGTTCAGCTCCAATAAAAGTGTTGACTTCTTGGGTTTTATCTCAAGAAGTCTCCATAGTATTTTGAGAAACAAGAATGCTAATTAACGTTTGTAAGCATTGCTTTGGAAATGTGTGAAGAGTTCAAGGCATCTTCTTGCAGAGAAGCTGCTCCACGGATTTTCCGCTGAAAGTCGTCAGGGGCCAAACCCCTGCCACCTTCATGTGATGAATTCAGTTAAGTTCAGTGCATTCGCTTGGTTACTTTTTCTTCCACCATCATGTGCCGAGGTGATTGCTTAGAGGTTCATGGAGCCGCTTTCTCAAAGTGCTGGAGACAGGGACTTTAATGACACATTGGAAATGCTATTTTGGCTTGAACTCCTTTGCTCGCTTCTGTTTGTTTCCTTAGCAATTGTGTTTGTGCTCGTTGAGGTCATGATGCTCTACACGCCCTTCCCGCCTGAGACTGCAAGCATCTATGCAATGCAGCAGTTCTTAAAGCTGGAGTCTCAATCAAAACTAATGTGAAGCTTTCAATCGGGAGTTGTGGTAATGTAGAATAGAAACAAAGGAATCACTAGATATTGTAAGCTTGGATCGGTTTGAACTTGATAGTTTGAGTGTGTGAAAGGTGTGCATCCATGCTGCAATAAGCCACGGTTAAGAAAACACAGACTGGGTGAAAACGCAATGAAACGCCCAAAAAAGTGGCAGGCTTTTCCCATGGGTTGAGATGCACGTTGCCTTTAATGACGCTTTGGACCTTTGTGGCCCCATGCTCAGCTTTTCTCGGAGCACCAGACGACTGAACATGGAGACGCCTAAGCGAAGCAGCGATGCCACAGCAACTTAAACATACTTTCAATGTATATGGTACTGTGTGCATGTCAATTCTTGGTACTGTGTGCATTGTGCAGACCTTGCTGCTGAAACTCCAATTCAAAAAGAAGTCTACAAGCTAAGTCAGACTATGTCAGACCATACGACCCGCATCGTTTGGGAGCGTTTGGAGGCCCTGTGGCTGTGGACAGAATCAGGCCATGGGAGTTCTGGGAGTGGAAAGTCCAAAAGCACAGCTGTTGGCAAAGGGCTTAAATACGCTTCTTGTTACTACTAGTAAGGCACTTGTTACTAGAAGCGATGCACTTGTTCCTAATAGCTTCTTGTTACTACTACAACCTACTAGCGATGGCCTCCAATCTACCAGCTGTTAGATCTTTCGAGGGCTTTGTTGGCAGTTGGTTGTCCAGCACGACATCATACTATTAGCACACATGTTTTTCAGTCCAGGTGTGGCATCAAGGACTGCACGTGGGGAGGGAGAGATTAGTGCGATGGCCGGCTTCGCTAAGTTTCCCTAAAAATCTAGGGACCAAATCATTAGTGCCAGCGCTTCTTCACCGAGACCCAGCAATGATGGTGGAGAAATTATGCACATTATACACATATGATATTCTTTGTTTATGATGAAGTAGTAACTTAGCAACGATGAATGAGCTAACTAGAAACGGGTGAAGGAGTCAAGTGGATAGGCTGCGATCATGAACCGCCCATACGGCCCACGAGAAATTCCAGCAAACCACACACGCAAAGGCCCAGGATTCAGAGTTTGGAGAGCAGAGGAATCCAGAGGAATCTACTAAACCAATCCGTTAGAATCAAAATGAAAGATCTCTAGAACGGTTGGAGGTCATCGCTATTAGCAACTGAAAAGAAAAATAGAAAGAAAGAAACACTTGCAGAGTTGGGACAAAAGTCATTGGCTTTGAGCAGAGTACTTGAGTAATTCAACGCTTGGTGGCTGCGAAGGGCAGTCTTTCATCACGTACGTCCCTAAGAGCGTATCGATTTCGGAGGGGAGCTAGGAAATCAAAAAGGAATGAAATCATAATCGAAGGAATCAAAAGCATTGAGGGAACCCAAGCTAGGAAATCCTAAGGCAACGGATTCAGAGGGACACAGAGATGAAGTAAAGCAGTTAAGAGTTTTGTCACGGAATTTGTTAAGGTTGGTTGGTTGCGAAAAAAGAGCACTGGCCTCCTCCACGTCCCACCCCCGCCCTCAAAATCAACGTTCAGGCAATCAAAAGCAGCAAGAAACAACCAAACACGTGACAATCTGCAACAATTGCAGCCCTAATCGCCATCGAACAGCGCTTCAAAAAAACCCACGCACCAGTCACAACCACAACTACAATGGGGCGATGGCAACAAGATTACCAAAGGAAAAAGGAAAGGACATCAAATAAAGTAAAGAAGGAAACAAACAATGTAAAGAAGTCAAAAGTAGTCGAGCTGCGAGAGCCAACAAAAAGACCGACAGGCAGAGAACACAGGACGATTCGATGACGAAGACAGCCACCACCACAACCAAAAAGCAAACTTCAAAACAACAACAGCGCAACAAGTTTTGGAGCAGCGTAGACTGCGATTGCAAAATGGTGGAAAATCTTGGGGTGTTAGTAAAGAACCCACCACCACACCACAGCACATCACGACATTGCATCAAGAGATTGCACATGTGTGTCATGTTTGCTTTTTTTCTGCCTGGACACCTTGTGCAGGATTTAACCGATGCAAACTCACACGAAAATGGCCTCAATGGTCCAGAGCCTCAGAAGTTCGCGTTGGTCAACCACACGGAATCCGGGTCTTGGCTTGCCAAGTCCAACCGGCGATGGCCTAAAACCGGGGTAGCTGATGTACTCGAATGGGGTAATTTAGGTCCATGTGTCGAAGTACAGCATCCTGAGGTAATGCACTTGTTACTACTAGTAAGGCACTTGTTACTAGAAGCGATGCACTTGTTTCTAATAGCTTCTTGTTACTACCAGTAAGGCACCTGTTCCTAGTAGCGTGGCACTTGTTACTACTAGTAAGTTTAGGTCCAAGTGTCGAAGTACATCCTGTGCCGCGGAGGTACGAAGTCCTGAACCATTCTCGGCATTCAGCCGCATATTTTGAGCACCACACGTAGTCAGTATATTTCCAGACAAACAGATGGCACTATTTCAATGCAAAGAACAAAAAGCCAATGTGGTTGGTTTCTACACGAAACATCACAAGTTTGGAAAGAGTGCAAACAGATATGCGGACATGTTCGGAGGGTGCGCAGAGCCTATCTACGCATCGAATTGTTCAGGCTGACTTATTGACATAGTTTGCAGGGGTCGTTGCAAGTCTTGCATTTGTTGGAGATGTAATTATAGAAAGACGCAATAAAAGTCCTTTGTTCTTCCTGCCCAACAGAAACCACATCATGAATCCAAGCACCCTGAACATGCCACCCGCGACATGCCATGGCCAATGTGAAGTTTTGGAGTTTTTCCTCCGTGAGGCAGTGCGGAAAGCCGCAGTGCGGAGACGGGCGGGAGACCGGGCCAGGCGGTCGGCCACCCGCCGCACATCTTGTGCGCTCGACCCAGCGCAGCCGATGTGCAAAAGAACTGCTGCGGATGGGATGATGGGGGGAGGATTGAAACATGAAGGAGCAAGAAGAATAGAAATTGTTCAACGAAGTCAGGTGATTGAATTCATGTTTGTGGCCCTTGTGCTGTTTCTCTTGCATTTGGAAGATTGCAGGAATTCCTTGATGAGGGCACCATTGGATATCGTTGGGTCATCGAGGTGAAGACTTCAGACTGATACAAAGATCTATTGCCCATCCCAAACGAAGCAATCCTGGTGCTTTGCCGTCTTGCAAGACATGAACAAGCGAGCTGTGGGGAATGTTCCGAGAGTGCGGCGCTCCATGATGCCGGGATCGCTGAGTTCTGTAGCCTTGTCCCCGGATCTTGCATCAAGTAGCTGGATTTACAATAGGTATTATTGCCTGGGCCTGGAAGACATGTATGGCGTTGATGAAGTCACTGAATTGCTGGCAACCGCCTCAGCTCCCATTGTAGCTTTCGAGTGGCTAGCATTGATCCTTGCAGGCTTCCAACCACATCGCTATCAGGTTGGAGGCCATCGCTATTGGGTTGGAGGCCATGGCTGTTAGGTTGGAGTTTGAACTGCCTATTGTCTCAGGTCGGAGCGCGGCCTTAAGGCAGCTGAAGTGGGGCGTATTCGTGACGACACAACCTGACGCGGGTCTGAATGGCTTGAGGCGCGAGGGCCTCAAGCTTTCTGCAAATCTGTTGCACTCGACAAAAAGGCTGGGCTGAGAAAGAAGAGCGGGAAAAAAACAAAGTTTATTGGGAAGGGTCTAACAAAAGGAAAAGGACAAAGACTCTAAGACCGGTTTAAAGGTTTAAAGACAGAGCTGTTCTGGGTTCAAAGATAGAGATTGGAAATGTCCTTGGATCAAAAACGGAAGGCGGAAGCGACTTCAGATGCCTTCGGGTGCCAGTCCCCAAAACTATCCAAAACATTCCAAAACCTTTTTTCATGTTGAGATAAGATGTTTTCGCAGGAGTAAGGTCTCGGTTCGGCTTGGGGTTGACATTCGGTTTGGTGCGTTCTGTGCAGAAGTTTCCTCCACCATCTCTGACCATCTCTTCAGTGTAAAGTCCTTGGACAGGGTTCTCAATCTTTGGGTCGACTTCACTTCTGAAGGCGTGCTCGTTGCGGTTCGGATTTGGAGTTTACTTTTAGTGGCAGGTGGAATAAATGACTCGTGTTTTGGTCTGCAGTCCACTTTTTGTGGCAGAAAACTGGGTACAAGACATCGCTTCTAAGTGTAGATTTCGTGTCGTGGCAGACGTTGCGCTGTGGATATGGTGGTATATAGTGTCTTAAGTGGAGTCCCACGGTCGCAAAATGTCACAGACTCTGTGCCACGCGTTGTGAACCATGGCACTTTTGATATTTTGTCCGTGGACTTCTGGGAAGGAGCGCCGAGACACCTACCCACCGGCCCCCAGAGCAAAAGTCATGAGAATGGAAGCACGATTATCCAAAGACAGGCCCCTTCTCCATTGCTCCGAACTGCACTTTGCATACCTGTCGTCCGAGTCTTCATCTTGTGGACTTGACTGTTTCTTCCTTAGCTCTTCAGCTCTTGTTTGGCCACATTGCCACATTGCTGTCTACACTTGATTCACGGCTAGCGGCTAGCTGGAGGCAAGGTGAACTGGCAAAGGAAACCATCCAATAGAACCAACCACGAGAGGCTGTGAGTGTCAAAGCCATCCCCCCAAGCCGCAAGGCCTCTGACTATATAACGGATCGAGTCCACCTCTTCAACGCCTAAGAAACCTTGGTGATACTGCGGAACGGAGCCGCCTATCGGCGATGAGATGTTTCTCCTTCCGTGTGTTGTTTGTTAGACAGTGTTCTGCATGTGGTCTTTATTGATCAAACAGATAGATTCAGAGTGCATCAACGAGCAAGCATCGAAGTTCATCAGGTCCACCACACAGGACACTGCCCGAGTGGACAATATGAAGATGAACATGGATGAAGTCAAAGCTAACCATGCTTCACTGTTAACAGAGCCAACACTCTTCATCAGGAAAATTGACGACAAGGTCTCAAGTGACACATTTGTAGCAGTCGACTTCGCACTTGCCCAGCGCTTTGCTGTGGTCAATTTTGTTTCCTGCGCTCCGCTCCATTTCCAGTGAAGAGCTCAGAACGAAAAGAGGAGACATGCAGATGGCACTGCTTCAGGAAGCATCACCGTTTCTTAGAAGTTGAGGCACGTTGGTGCTCAGGTGTAGATACAAAAGCATATGCCCTTTTGAACATATTGTTGTTATTGCTAGTATGTTTGTCATTGGGACTGGAGGTTTCCAACAAGTTCCCTTCTGGCACTGTAAGCCAACAACATGTTTCACTACCTATTCCAATCGAGTACTATCGAGTACTCAGGACGCCTCGATGGCGGGATACATGGCTGAATTAGAGGCCGCCCGTGTGCTTGAGTGTTGCTGTCGAAGATGGTCCTATGGGTCCAGTCGAGCTTTGGGTCTCCAAACATGTTCGCTCGGTGTGACGTGTGAGACGTGCTGTCAAGCTTCAAACAGCAAGCAATGCCCAGTTGTAGAATCCTGTTTGCTCGACTTAGCGAGTCCAAAACCTCAATATGGCCAGCATTCAGCATTATTCCGTAACGGTTTTCTGCGGATGGTTCGGCCAAAAAGTAGCTTCCTCCATTTTGCTGCATTGGTTTTCTTCAGTGATCGCTCACATTGACGGAGCTCCTTCCCCAACGAAGCGGGAGTTGGGAAGCTCGTTTCACGGATGCGCGGTCCCTATGCGACGTGATGGCGACGCTGCTGATCTTCAGGACCCGGTTGCTTCTAAGCGAAAGCCACCACGTCACAAAGTGGCAATCCATTGACGCTCTGTGATACAGAAGATGTTTGTCTTACTGCTCACGTTTTGCCTTCTCGTACAAACAACAACACGAAGGAGGAAGGTCTAGATTAAAGAACATAGAATGGAAAGAACGGAATCAATAAGTATAAAAAGGGACACCAATATTGGAAGGTCTACAGAAAAGAAAAATACAATACCAAGACACAGGAAGCTTCTTCTGTACCAGGATCCTACAAGCAGCCTGTCCCTACTAACAACAGCTTTACAAGGCGTCAAGTCCTTTGGCTTTACTACCCATGTGGTTCTACTATTGCTGCTGCCGCTGCTGCTGCTGCTCCTCCTCGTCCTCCTCCACTTACTGTAGTGTGCATTTGTGTCCACGTATACATGCAGAATGCCAACAAAGTTAGCGCTGCACTTCCACCGCTTTCCTACAGGAGAGTCTTGATCGCTGGAAGGCTTGGTCGTATCAGCCTCGTTCTGCTGCATTTGGGCATATATGTTGACCCTAAGTACGTTCTCTTCTAGGTTGAAGGCCATCGCATTGTTTTGTTCCCTCCTTCAGAAGTTGATTTACATGGTCGAGGCAGTTTTTGAGTGTGGGCCTTTCCGGTAGCCTCGGCTGTCAACCATGGCGTTTGGTTGGGAGGCAGACGCTGGTGCAGCTCTTCTTTTTGCTGCTTTAGCTGAGGCTGCATGGGAGAATTATGCATTTGGTTACTCTAAGCCTAGGCAAATTAGATGCTTCGGGCAAGAACCAACTTTTCTTCCAAAGGCGTTCCCAAAGGCATCCTCAGAGGTGAGGCCTTAATGCACGCATGTCATTGCATGTCAGGCCCTTCAGGCCCGACTTGCCAGATCAATTTTCTTGTCAGTAGCAAGGGTTTAGTTTTGCTCCACTCTTTGACTTGTCAGCCAGGAGCCTGAGGGAGACCTTCCAGGTCTGACAGCATGGCTTGCTTCGCTGAAGTTGTCCCACATCGACGGGGCTGCTCGAGATTGGTGCGAAAAGCACCTTGATTGGAGCATTTTTCTGAATGAAACTTGCATGTGACTCACTTGTGAACACCAGTGGAAATACTGAAATCAACGTGGTTGCTTGTTGCACGCTGATTGACAATGCAATGATTGGGGACAAGCCAATCCGGTCAGTGTTGCCCAGGCGCGGAATGAAAGATCACCAGGAGGCACGAGAGACGCCTTCTTTGTCTCTCTAAGTAACCACTCTTCCTTTCCATCTTTCTTTGTTTCTAATAGCGATGGTCTCCAACCTAATAGCCTTCTTTGTCTCTCTAAGTCACGAGATCTCTTTTCAGGAGACAGGAGTTCAAGACCAAATTGTGACATCATGGTGCTGCCATCCTGCAAACCTGTTCCTGTTTTACTACCATGTTGTCGCAAGTTTGTAGGAGCTAGGAGAATTCGTCAGTTGTTTGAACAGGGAAAGGATCGACAGCAAGGAGATAGGAGACAGTTTCAATACACTCACCAGCTCATGGAAGACTAAACTTTTTAGCAGGTGCGTGGAGCTGGTAGTACCTTTTGTTGGCAGCAGAGTTCATTGCCGAATGACAGGGGTCCACCCAAGAGAACTACAGAGATCACCGTTCAAGCAAGATGTGTTCATATGATAGTTCCTCAAGCACGTCCTTTAACAAGGCCATCCTCAGACAGGCACCCCTGTGTACCTCAGAACCATTTCAAGCAGTAGCACATCATTGTAGGGTTTGTCCAAGGTGAAATACAGTGGTGAAATACATTGTTGAAGTTTTGATCAACTAGTAACAAGTGCATCGCTACTAGTAACAAGTGCCTTACTAATAGTAACAAGAAGCTAGTAGAAACAAGAAGCAACTAGTAACAAGTGCATCGCTACTAGTAACAAGTGCCTTACTAGTAGTAACAAGAAGCTAGTAGAAACAATATATAAATTAGACATTAAGATAGTTTCCGATTAGGTAGTAAGGCACTTGTTACTAGTAGCTTCTTGTTACTACTAGTAAGGCACTTGTTACTAGTAGCGATGCACTTGTTCCTAGTAGCTTCCTACCCCCCCGATAAGGTTGGAGGCCGCTCTTGTCTGCAGGTCTTCGCTGTTTGGGAGGAGTTCGCAGATGCGCTACAGCTGAGACCACTGGAGCGTCATCGTTTGGCCAAGGTGTCTTGGTGAAAAGAGTTTGCTGTAAAATGACAGTGATGAAATCGATGTTTCAGATAAGAACGCGCTACTAGAAGCAGAGGCTAGAGACAACTTCACAGTGTATTGCTAAGTTTTCTATTTATCTCAGAGACGCAATTCTTTGGCAAAGCGGAGAGTTAGAGAGTTTATCCTGAGTCTTCCTTTCTCAAAGCTCTTAGGTTTGGAAGGCCGAATTGAAAGCCTTCTTACAAAGAACATTCCGACAAGAACTCTATTGACAGAATGCTTTCTTACAGAGAAGGTGTCACTTTATATTTTGGCCATCCCTTGCGAGGAACTAGCAAGTAGAATGTTTTTTTCATAGTGTGAGTTATAAGGTCAGGCATGATTGTTTTTCTTATTTGTTCTTTTTCTCAGCAGCCTTTCGAATCTTGGCTCCAACAATGAGTACCAAGAATCCTAGTGATTGAAGCGCCAAGACATGGAGTTGTAGCAACTTCAATGGCTTGGGTGGCTTGTGGGCGCAGGTCGCAGGTCAGCCTTCGGTCTCCAAGCCAGAACTGACAGCGCCAAGTCTAAGTACGTTTGGACCTGACGAGGACTGCTTGAAGAACTTTATTTGTTCACGCCGTTTCTTCCTTTTCTTAACATGGTGGGCATCTCTTCGAGACAAACATGTAGATTTTTCGTGTGCCATGCTACCAAAGTCCTCACGGCCGGAGTGCCTTATAGAATCAGTTCTTTTAGCACCAGATATTGAACTTTGTAAATCAATGAGGCAAACAGCAAGCGTGATAGACAGGCCAGTGGTTGACACATTCATGCCAGACCTGTCATGTGCATGCGCTCTTTGCTATCGATGATATATGTACACCAAAGGTCATCGGTCATCATATTCTGACCTTAGGTGTTCTTGAAAGGAGGTATCAGTCTTGGGTGTACTATCATGGTATTATCATTCTTGGTTTTACTGCTGAATGTTGGTGGAAGGTCTTTGACACATTTGACACAAGTTCTCCAGCCATATGAAAACATCTCCTGGCACTGCATATCGCGAAACGCAGCGAAAGATACGATAACGTCAACCATGTTAAATTCGATGATACATGGGACTTTGGTGGAGGATGCCAGGAAGCTATCGTTCCCTAACTGTACATTTGGTGAGCTCCCGGAGAGAAATACGTAGAGACAATGAAGACATGTTTCTCACTCTTTTTTCACTATGCACGATCGGGAATATGGAATGCCCTAGTGTTTTCTCTTGCCATACTTCTTTCAGGTGTACAGGCTTGCGTACTACTCCTTGTGGTTAGAGAGAAAGCTTTGGCGATTATCTTTTGATTCAAAAGCCTCATGGTATTCTATTTGGGCATCCAACAGTGCTGACCGATTTCGCTGTCTTTGCAGGATCGTCATCGCTACCGCCTGTTGGAGACCATTGGATCTGGCGCGACCGCTCGCGTCTTCCGTTGCTGTGATCACAGTGGCAACGTGCTGGCAGTGAAGAGGCAAGGTGCTGGGGGACACATGGAACAGACACGTAAAATTGTTGCTGTGAAGATTTGTGAAAAAAAGCCTTCACTTTGTACAACTTGGACATTGGGACCTTTGAATTTAAGTTTACAGGGTAGTGCTTTGCAAGCTCAGCAAGGCCTGGGTGGCCTGTGTTGTAGGGCTTGGGAGCAGGGCTGGGAGTGTGGAAACTGTGCCTTGCATAAGGCAACATCGAGGTCATTTCGCTTCAATTCCCATACTACTCTAGCCTAGTCTTTCCAAAGCTTAGCTTGTTTTGGCTGTCGACTGACATTGAATGCAGTGAAGGATCCAACTTGCCAAGCTTCGTCGACAAGGCAACTATCGACAGATTGAGGAGATGTTGCACCAAGAGATTGTTGCTGGGCTCAGATCAGTTGTCGACAAATGTGTTTTTTGCAGTAGCCAGTAGCCATGCTATTGTGGTCAAACATACAGAAACGGATGACACTCACAAATCCTAGAGACTGGAGTCTTGATATGTTTGTTGATTCATTCTTGGCTGAAATGCAGTGCGATAATGTGAAATGAGTGCGTGTGTGATGTGATGAAGTTGGATGCGTGATGTGAACAAGTATGATGAGTGTTGTGATTGTGATATATCACCAGAGATCAGTAAGTTGTTTCACCGGGAGGCTTCTGGTTCTGGAGTTTGCAGGGGGCATGCTGCACTTGTCTCAGATGAGGCCATCCACCTCTCTTTGCAGCACCCGAAGGTTGTAGGCTGAACATCGTGAATCGTCGCATTGCAACTTGTGCACTATGAGATGCTCAAAATGCACAGTCAGTGCTGTCTATATATATTGCAAATTTAATCAAATGGCCGAAAGAGGTTGGACTAGGTTCATGCTGCATTCACTATTCACATGATATCAATTGAAAATCACTTGAACATCGTGCGGGCCAGGGCTTGTGGATGTCATTGAAAGTGCAGAGGACTTGTCAGTGCCGAATTCTGCATTCGGAGCAGAGACGAGAGCGAGCTGCGTCTGGAAGGAGCTGCGTCTCGTGATGGAGTTCTTGGGTGGTGGTAGTATGGATGATGTCTTGGGGATGCGTCGATTCTTGCCAGAAACCCAGGCAGGTCTGCTGACTTGGTGCGTAGATGTGCTATGCCAGGCTGTGAGCACTGTGAATATGTCAGGCTTCGGACGTCTTCCGGCAAATTGCTGAAGGTTTACACTACATCCACATGAGGCACATGAGTGGGTGAAGCGGGTGGAAGTTCAACGGGCACGGTGCTTTAGTCCCATCAACATGGGAACTCTCCACATGGCACGGTGCTGGCCCAACTTGCCCAGTTAGCTTCCAATCGTTCCTACAGACGAATATCACAGAAGAGCATCAATTAACTAATAGCTTCTTGTTACTACTAGTAAGGCACCTGTTACTACTAGCGATACACTTGTTACTAGTAACCCCTTTTGTTTGAACGGTCCGCTTTTCTTCCAAAAGAAGAAGAAGATCTTCACTTGTTTCCCAAAAAACGTCGCAATTCGCAGACGACGCGACAACACGGTCGTTACCTAAACCCGTTTGTCGTGACCTCGCCAGGGACATTGCTCACCGGGACCTGAAGCCTGAGAACGTCCTGGTGTTGGACCGCTCTTGGGAGGATCCAAACATCGTGCCACAGGCCGGTCGAAACGGGTTTGAAGACGTGGAAGATAGAAAAACAGGGAGTGTTTGTCCATGTGTTTCGTTGAAAAGACCTGATTCACTTAGAGATGCGGACAGAAGATAAGTTTGAATATCAATCCACTCTCGGATAACTTCAAGTTGGACCAGTCAGAGGGCTTCCGGGTGCATTTCAACTTGACTGTTGTGAATCTTGTGAAGCAGTACTCTTGTTCCTAGTAGTAATGCCAGGAGCCCCTAGTAGCGTCCGCGCTCCGTTCGTAGCGATGCCCATCAGGTTAAGTTGGCCGACTTTGGGCACTCCAAAGTCGTTGACGACATTTTCACCCGAACGCCCAGCAACGTGGGCACACCATTGTACATGGCTCCGGAGGCCTTCACACTTGAGGCGCCACGACGATGGGAATTTTGCTGATGAGTGGTGTCTGTTGTTTGCCTAGATCTTCAAGGTTCTCTTTATGTTTTTTGTTTAATTCCCTTCTTGCAATTTAAAGAATATGGTGCTTTTATGTGTGTTTTAAGAACTTGATGCATGCAGTATTATTTCTACACTTGATGCAGACACTGGACGAACGTGCTGCTGATTTATGGAGCCTTGGCGTGTCACTTGAAATGCAAGCGATGTTTTGGGATGTTGGAGGTTGGGGTTTGCAGAGCTTCCGTCTTTGCAAAACTTCTACTTTGCAGAATACTTGTTACTTGTTTGTCCTATGTGTTATGTGTGTCATTGTGTGTTTGCTATTGTGTGTGTTGAGGCTTCTTTTTGTGATATTGCTTGGACGATGCCCCTTTGATGGCAGTGGAGCAGAGCTTCAGGATGCCACCAGATTGCACAGGGGCAGTTTTGGTCACTTTGACGGTGCTTGGTGCTTTGGTGCCTTGAAACCGCACATCTCCAGCTGCTCCAGCTAGAGCTTCCATGAGCTTCCCTGTTCATTTCTTGGTCATTTTGCCTCAAGATGAGAGTTGTTTTCTGGTTGTTCTTAAGCCATTCTTCCGAACTTCTTCCATCTATGTTGTGAAGAGCGCTTGAGGCAATCCAGAAGGGAGAGTTCTCCTTTTATCATGACGACATGCCTCCACCTAGCCCTGATGCACAGTCATTGGTTCGCGCGCTGGTGAAGCTTGAGCCCCGCAGGAGCTTGGGCCCTGACATGAAACATTTGGTTACCAGGACCACCTGAATTTATAGGTGTTCCAACGAGAACCTTCAAACAGGGGTCTCGGGTGTGGAACCCAACATTGTAATGCTACCAGGAGCACGTTCTGATTGAATTCATTGTTGACTTGCCAGGAGAGCGACACTGGATTGGTGCCTGATACATCGTTTTGTGGTGGGGCCTTCGGGTTTGGGACGGCTACTCTTGCGTGATGGGCTGGCACCTGAAGTGGACTCAGGCATTTCGCGTCGCGTGCCGGAAGGCATATTTGACGAACAGTTGTGTTTTGGTTGCTCGGCTCCCAAAACTACCCCTGCTTTGTGTGCTCACCCAGAGCTTTTGTTTTTCTCTGCCAAACCATGTGCTACTTGAGTAATACCAAGTAGGGAAGGGTAAGGCAAGACAGAACAGAGAAGAGGACAAGTGGAAGTGTGCAGTGAAACATGACTACCCTTCTTTTGCTCTTTCCTGCAAAGAACAATGCCCTCGAACTGTTGGTCTTTTTTTCAGTTTTTGGTCGATAAATCTGTCTTTTGGGTGTGCTTGTTTTTTGTCAAGTGTCTTTTAGCCGAACTTGTGAAAAACAAAAACATATTATATGCATTCTTTGTGGAGATACATAACATTTGTGCGCCGTGCCGAGTGTCCAGCAAACGAGTTTGTTTTTTTGTCAAGAGTGTGGTTTGTTTTGGCAGCGCGACAGCCCGCAAAAGTCCTGACAGATGAAATGCTGGAAGAGACCTATATATTGCCTTCCTTGTCAGAAGTCGCAATTCGACACTTTGATGCATTCATGTTCTTTTCTTCGGCATGTTTCATCAATTTTATCTATGTCAAGCTTGCCCAGCAACTCAGCTTGGTTTGACACGTGCGTTGGCGAGGAAACTTGCGGCAAGATTTATGCAAGTGGATGTAGCTCTGCTAAAAGCATCTACTGCAGTGAGTTTGTTTTGTGTGCCTTTGCACCCCAGCATAATGAAACTGACCTGGAAGTGCAGGCTGAAATTTCGGTTCTCTGCAATGACCAAGGGTGTAGAGGCTGGCGTCTGGTTGACAAAGGTTTAATCTTCTGCAGAAAGACATGTTGAAACGACTTTTGGTCTGGAACCCATTGGAATCCAACCCCTTACTCTGTGAATGCCAAATTGCCATTCTAACTGTTGGCAGGTGGTGGCAAAGTATGGCCTGGCACAGCTTGCGGACTGGGATCGCATCAAACGCGGCCATTGCGAGCTCTTAGAGGCCGAGCAGACCTTCAAATCAAAGAGGATCGCATAACGCAAAAATAAACATACACCAAGAGTGAATCAAGGAATAGCAATGAATATCACTGATGCCAGAAGGTTCTGGGCCCATTTTATCACTGTTATTCTTTTCGGGCTTGGTTATACTGTAGTATGTCCGTGCCCTTACTGTTCAGGTTATGGCCTACCATACCAACGCCAAGCGCCCAGCCACTGGAAATGTTTTGGGTCGTATCCAGTCAAGAGGTGCCCCAAATGGACAGCCAGGCAGGACGGTTTGACAGCCCAACACAACATTTGGAGCCTTACATTTGAGATCATTTGAGCACATTGCTGGGAAGATTGTGCAACTTGTCGAGAACCAAAGCTATTCACACATTCAAGGAGTGCCTTTCCAGGCACAGTGAAGCCAAAACCAGAAGACATCAAGCAAATGAGCAATAGTGGACACACCAGACTCTTGGCTTAAAGATTGGTTCCGCACCAAGCTCGAAGCACCAGAAATTGCTTTTCTTTGGAAAGATTCGCCAATTGAAAGTTTCCTGTTTCAGTTTTTCCAGAGTCTCAGCAACTTTTGAACCGGCTCTCAAGCGCCTGGAACATCTGTTGTTACCACTGGGAAGGGTATCAAAAAAGCGCCAAATCTTGTAGGTGGACAAGTCGATCCTCCCAAAGTTCAACGTCAACATGAGGCCTGGACCCAGTTCTTTGTTTTGCCTCTAGAACAATTCTCATGCCTTTATGTTCTGCCTGTATTCTTTATAACTTCAATTTTAGACCATGTTTCATTCGATCCATGTGTGGATTCCTTTTTCCTTTGCCTCACAACCTTGGCATTTATGCTTCGCCATAATGGAATAAGGGATGTGTTGCCCGGCTCCAACATCCAATACTAATCTGATTTGCAAAGACCTTCTTGGAGTTTTTTCTGCAAAGTTACTTCTTCCAACATCCAAGCCACTGAGTACCGGATAACCAGCCTCCTCTCTACTCCATAATCCCTGCTACACGCTGTTGAACATTGTCTTTGAAAGCGCTCCAAATCCCAAGAAAAACATACCAATCAAATTGTCACACCCTCAAAAATCATGCTTACTGTAATTTGCTTGATAACCTTGATTTCCTTATGACTCCACGAATGAAGTATCTCTGTTGAATTCCTGTTACTTCGCTCTTGAACCTATTGTGAGATCGCTTGTGACTTCCTTTGGATGTGCTTTGCATAGCTTTGTTCTTTAGCGCAGTATGGTGTCTCTTACAGATACAATACATAATGTAAGAAGATGTAAGATTAAATAATGACTGAAGACCCTCGGTGTTTAGGGAACTTCTAGAATTCTGCAACTGCGGTTGTTCTTCCTGTGGTCCTTCCCGGTGGAGCGTAGACCCGTGGAAGGATGAAGAGACTGCGCGGCAGCGACGCCTTGCAGCACGGAAGCAGGCTCAAGAGTGATGAACTTGTGGTTCCTTTTAGACACATTCTAGTCTTCTGACAAGGTACGAAAGGAAGGAAAATGAAACAAGCATACCAAACAAATGGTCAAAAGTCTAAAGGATTGGAATTAGAGTCAGAAAGGCCTACAGGAATAAGATTTCCTTGAAGAGCGAGAACTCTTGTGTGTCCTTGCTACTCGTAGCTGCAAGTTAAGTACTAGGCCCTGTTTCACAAGAGAAATAGCAGCAGCAGAAATAGGGACACATTTGAGGATTACTATAGGTCCTCGGGCCATGCCTCACCAATCCTGTGAGGCGAGCCCAGCCTGGAACTTCAGCCATCGCTCAGGCGTGCAGCTGGCACATCCCATCGGAGGGAGGTCTCAAAGATTCGCATTTTGCACATCGGGGTAGTAAGGCCAGGAGCCCCTAGTAGCGATGCCAGGAGCCCCTAGTAGCATCCTTTCTCCTAATAGCGATGCCCTTGTTACTAGTAGCTTCTTGTTGCTAGTGGTGATGCTAGGAGCAACCAGTAGCGTCCTTGCTCCTAGGTTCAAAGAACTTGATCATGCAGTAGTTACAGGCTGCTTTGCGAGCAGCCAGCCTTTGGTCTTCAGGTTTAGACACCTAGGTTATCCTATGCTTGTTTGTCCTGCCATCTGCAGGAGCAAAGCCCAATGTCGATGGGCAGTTTCGTTCCTGGGACTGCATTGGCATACGATGATGCATGTCGTAGAAGTGTTTGCTTTCAGAAGGGTTGATGTTTGATGCATTTGTGTTGTCACTCGTCGTCTTGACATGAAGAGATGTTTCAAACATCTTCAATCAAGGTGCACAAGAAGTTGCTCTTGAACGTGCACGTCGGCAAGCCTTTCAAGGCGACACTACTGTGTTGCCATTGAGAGCGCTGATATGCAGCAGCAAAATTAGAAAGTTCGTTGCATTCTAATTAGTACAACAAAGGCAAGAAAGGTCCAGGGTCTGAAGAGGAAAAAGAACACACGAGAAAAAACAAAGGTCTGTCTTAAGCTTCTGAGAATGTTTAGGGTTGTTGGAATAGGAAGTGGAGCCAAGCTCAGAAAGAATGTCTGAGCTGTGTAATATTGTGTAACTGTGTCATTTGAGCTTTGTTGGGGTCCAGATGTTTGCTAGAAATGAAGAAAGGACAGTGTCCAAAGGTCCAAAGAGAAGTCGTTTAACAAAAGAAAAAGATAATATAAAAACAATAAGTTACTAGTAGCAGGGTGCCTTACTAGTAGTAGCTTGTTACTACTAGTAAGGCAACTTGCTACTAGTAGCTTCTTGTTACCAGTAGCGATGCACTTGTTACTAGTAGCGAAAATAACACTAGATGCACTTGTTACTACAGAGAATTCCTTTCCTTCAAAGAGTGAAGCATGCTTTTCTGTGAGGCCGTGCTTATCGAGCAGGCGCAGAAGACCTGGAGCGCTGAGACTTTGCTCAGCTTGGCCTCGGCAGCGAAGGAGCCAGCGCTTGCCGCTCCTGGTCTTCGATGACAGCGCTGCACGGCCGCGGCACGGCCAGCGCACCTGGTCGAGAGCCTCACCTCCGTCGGCTCATTGGAGTGTGAAGCTCTCAAGCACTTGTTTCTACTAGCTTTATTGTTACTACTAGTAAGGCACTTGTTACTACTAGCTTCTTGTGCTCTCAAGACCTCATGACCGCCACAGGAAGCTCCAGCTTGCGCTTTTCGTGAGTACATGCGCTGCAGCATGGCCAAGTGTCCGTGTGTGGTCCGTCCTTCCACAGTAGGTGGCATGACTGGGTGCGATGATTCGTTGCGGGGACAAAAGGGCTTTTTTGCTGGCGCAGGGTGTGTTAGTCTACACTATGGCACTACGGTTACTTCTCACAGGAATGCCTGCTTGGCCAATGAAGGTCGGTATTAATGTAGTCGTTGGAAAGAAACTCTTTGAGTAGATGTATACATTGATATGAATCGAAACGTTGAGAGACAATATGGGAGGGAACATCAAATCACCTGCCAGGGCGGAGTCAAGTCTGATGTCTTGGCTGCCCTGGGATCTGTCAAATACTCAGTGTTTAGCAACATGTTCAGGCCATCGCTAGTAGGTTGGAGGCCATCGCTATTAGGTTGGAGGCCATCACTATCAGGTTAGAGGCCATCGCCATTAGAATCAGCTAGTTCTATGTGTGCGCAGTAGAAGCATCGGTGGTATATGGCTATATGACTGTCTTTGTGCTTGGCACGTAAATGTTGGACTGCTATGTCCAACATGTTGGTCACTTTATATGCCCACATTTGCAGTAGGTTCACCTAAGGAGACCCAAGGTCCAGAAGTTCAGAAGGTGTCCTTGCTAGTCACAAGGTGTGGTCAAAAGCACATCGGTCACATCACCACACCTGGTGACTGACGTCGCTCGACTTCATGTTGATACCAAGTTGGACCGCATGGACCCAGCCAACACCGTGACTTTCAATGACGGGTCATGCTTGACATGTGTTCCGCGCGTGTTCCGTATGTTTGCGTGTACAGGACAGCAGTAATAGAGCTCTTGCTTGCTGGTTTGCAGTGAAATGTTGCGAACCAAGGTGAGTTCTTCTTGTGCTGCTAGTAGAACATCACCCTTCGGAAGACCTCATGAAATCTCATGACTGTGATGCTGAATGGCCGATCTCCAAACAGGATGCCCAAGTTGTTTGGGCCACGAGACATGCTTTCCAACGTTCCACGTGAATTGCAAGCTTTGTTGCCAGTGTGCTTGCATCTTCCTGGCCTACAGCGAGTGCAAGGTACTCGCCTTGAATCTGTTTTGTCGCAAGGGAAACAGTCCACAAGATTCCAAATTCCAACTAACAAGTTGTCTTGCAGTATGGAGAAAACAAGAGAAGTAAAGGTCTGAAGGTCTAGAGAACTATACAAAAGACAACAAGAAGCGAAAAAAGATGCCGCACAAGAAGACATATATATATATATAACTACTAGTTCCTTTGACACTAAAAGGTTAGCCAAGTTCCGTTGATTCCACAGTGCACAGCATAGCACACTCGGCCGCAGGACGAAGTACGAACCACCAAAATCTCCAGTCATTAGACCATCTCCTCCAGGCGCACTTCCGTCATTTGCGTTCGGTTCCGGGGTTCATGTTCACTAGTTTGATGACGTGGCCTTTGATGACAACCTAAGAGATTCATTATGGTTGATGTGCTACAAATCCTTGACCTAAGCAGCTTTTGACAAGCTGTTCTTATTTGTATGTCCAAGTTCGGGGTATTTGAAAGACCAAAGGCCTTGTTCTTGGCAGCAACCTGGCATTGCTTTGCAGCTGAAGCTATCAAGAAAGCACTGTCAGCAGCAGCTCACAACCGCTCAATGTATTCTAGAGTTGCTATGGTTGCCGTAGCAGATTCCTCGACTAAGTACTGCATAGCTCTGCATCTTGAACTGATTCAGTATTGGTGATGTTCTCATCCCGTTCTTGATTACATGGCAGTTGCCCTGTCTCAGGTTCGCCTCTATTCCCCTGTGATGATGCGCACAAGGCGCTGGTTTGCATCTTGCTGCAACATATGCAAAACTGCTGGAGTTGTGTTGTTTTGCTGTTCAATGCTTTTCAGTGTTTAGTTCCAGGAAAAGATCATGAAGAATGTTCAAGCGCTTGAAGAGGAGGCAAAGCTTAGCTCCCGAGCTGTATCCACCAATGGTGGAGGTACCATTCCAGCGATTGCATCGGGAATACGTACCAGATATTAAAGGATATATTAAAGACAGTATAAAAGACATTAAAGACTATTGGCCGTGGCCTGCAACCTAAGAGCAATGGCCTGTACCAGTATCTTGAGAGCTGTTTCTCCGAAGGCTTTTTCATTGGACGACGGTGAGGCACGGGTCTCGCTGTGTTTGCACCGAATCATTGGCTGCTATATATCCGAATTGTACTAGTTAAGTTTCCCTAAAAATCTAGGAACCAAAATCATTAGTGCGAGCGCTTCTTCAAGGAGGCTCCCCCTGCCGCCTTTAGGGCGGCGGGGGTGGCTTCCTTGAAGAAGCGTGAGCTATCCTGCGTCCATATGTAATAGCCTACTTGCAGGTACTAGCTACCTCTAGCTACCAGCGACTCCCTACCTCTATAGCTACTACCTCTAGCGTCCTACCCCCCTTTAAACATGTTACAATTTGATGATAGAATTGGTAATGTGGCGAGTATCATTGGCGTGCATGAGGATGGCTTTGCCCTGGATGGCCCTGATGGCTGCGAGCTCAGCAAGCTTTTGAGTAGCCATTTGTTGGATGCTGGGGGTCACGCACTGTGACCCATACCGAATTATCTCGTTCGGAATTTGGTGGTGAGGCTTCATAGATGAGGACTGTCAGCATCAAAGCACATTTTCATGGAAGATATATGTTTGTTTTTGAACATTCTGGGCTGCAGGGGCCTGCAGGGGCTGCTCTTTTCATGGGCACAAGTTAATGCGTCCTTACCAATGGTTGTGTCTTCCGCAGCGCAGGAATATGACTTGAAGGCCTCGACAGAAAGTGACGGTTGTGCTTCAAGCGTCTTTTCCACTCTTTGACAAAGTATCATGAACTCATATGAGTCATATACACTCTTTTTAACTGAGTGACCCATGGTGTGCTCTTCTGGGCTCAATGCTATCAAACCGAGAGCGCTGCTTCGTCTCCGGGTTGCTCGTCCCTTGTTTGCCAGTTCCACTTGTCTGGCTTTGAAGACCGAAGCGAGACTGGCGAGACTGAAGCCTCTTGACATTGGAAGCAGAATCAAACTACGTAGACCTTTCCTACTTTTATGTGTTCTGTGTTTCTACCCTAGCAATGGCCTCCATCCTACTAGGGATGGCCCTACTAGCGATGGCCTCCACCCTAGTAGCGATGGCTTCCAACCTAATAGCGATGGCCTACAACTGGAAGACTGGAAGCAGAATCCATGCATTCCTGGAAGTGACAACTTATTTTGTTTGTCGCCGTTGATTTGTGCAAATCTGCTGACAGCCTACTGTGAGACGGTTTCCAAGAGTTGGATTTGATTTGAACGGTGAGCACTGCTTTTTGGTGGAGCATTCTGTAAGGTTGTAGCTTGCATTTAGGAGCAAAGCACACCTTTTTGAGGCTGAGCCAGTCTCCAAACAGGCGGCGAAAGAAAGAGAGAGAGAGAGAGAGGTACAAGACCCGGAGATAATTACCCAGGGCCAAAAAGTTCTGGTAGCGCACAGCACCGACATTTGTCCTTGTATCTTTCTTCTGCCGCTTGCACACACAGCGCCTCTCTTCTGGAAGGAAAGCACTGGAAACCGTTTGATGGTGCCTCAGCAACAGGCACAGACACCGGACCAGGAAAAAGGGCAAAACTCTTGTAAGAGACAATAAGTATGTGACTTGCAATGCATGTTACATATTGTGGACATCAAAAAGGAGTCAATAGGTGCCTGCGAAATGATCCTTCACGTTGTTTTGGCTTCAACTTGCAGGCGAGACCCAGAAGCGGAAGTGACGCCGGCTTAATTGAACTCAGAGAGGTGTTCAACAAAAAGGATTCAACATGTTTAAGCATGCTAAGATGCTATATATCTCTATGTATAGCTGTAATACATACAGTTGGCCAGTGAGGCCAAATGCGGAGTTGCAGCAACATTGGCTAACAATAGCTACTGTAGCCTTACACGCTTGTGGGCATTCATCTACCTAGCAGAGGTTTTACTCACCGAAATGGCTTTGTTTGAATGGTGCCAGCGGTTAGATTCGGTTAGATGAAGCAAGTTTCAAGATGTCGTAGTCGTTTGCATGTCATATATGTGGGCCGAGCGTGTCAACTGTAGACTGCTGCTATTGCAACAAACCACACCAGGCTCAACTTGTGGCAGATATGGCAGGTGCAGGTGCCTCTCTGGTGATCGAAGAGCATGAGATCGAGATCGGGGAGAGTCCTACCCTTCAATGTGCACTGGAAATGGTGGCAGAAGTACGAAGCTCAAAGAATGCCATGCGGCTCCTGGATTTTTCAGCCAAGTTGCACAGAATTGACACTACTACTTTGTTCAGATATTCACCTTTGGCGTTGGACATGAGGAAATGTTGCAGCAAGCACCAAATGCATTTGTGAGAGAGTTGTTCTGACTCACCTTGATTTGGTCTGAATTGTTTGTTTGCAAGTACTGTACTGGTTTCCTCGCTATTATATAGTACTGTTCTTATCTCACTCTACTTAGCTAAACATATGCCCCGGCACAGGGATCAGTCAAAACAAACTGTTTGTGTCGGCATCGAGGCGAATGGAAAAGGCAGGCCGAGACGGGGAACCATGTGAACCAGGAGCGTGTTTGGAGCCGTGTGTTTGTCTTGGCATGTTCGGCGCTGTCTTTGGCTGCAAGAAATGAGCGATCTTTGGCTTGGACACATTCGGATGAATTCGGATAGACATGGACCAGGGGGTCTTAGAAAAGGGACCCAAATCTATGCTCCTTCTTTTCTTCTCTTTTCATTCCTCCACGATTACACGCTGGGTCTGTGGGGCTTGGTTCTCGACCTCCAGGATGGCCGATTGCTGCCTGGCGCATGGTGGACGACCTGCGCACTTTTGAAGTTGTCCAGCCATTGGTGGCCTACTAGTAACAAGTGCATCGCTACTAGTAACAAGTGCCTTACTAGTAGTAACAAGAAGCTACTAGGGACTCCTGGCCCTACTACTAGGAACAAGAA